ACCCAATATCTTGTGAAGTGGAGGGTTACCCTCACTCACATAACTCGTGGGAGTTTGAGGTTCCCCTCCGGCAAGATTGCCCTGACGTCGTGGAAGCTTATGATCGGGCACATCCGGTGCTGGAGGTGTAGACACCTCATGACGGTGGGGACGAGGTCCCAGGAGCTGACGTCTAGCTTTTGACTTTGCGAAGTCCAAGCGGAAGCGTCTCTCCAAACAAATATCGGTTTCAGAGAAACTAGCTCTAAGAGCGTTATAGGACGGTAGCCGCCGCGCTAACTCCACCCAGTTTTGAAACTGTGCTTCATAAGCATTCTGGGATTCACCAGGGTTGAGAACAACCGGAATGGTTTGCATGGAGGGAACCGAACGTCGGTTGAGCTGCAATTGCAAGCGCTCCCGATACTCCTACGGAGTTGTGACTTGTGAAGTCAAGTATCGCTTGCGGAGCGTGTACCAAAGCACCTGCTCTTCAGCAGTGGCGGCAGCAGGCCCACTCATATACGTGTCTAAGGGTTGTTGTGTAGCACGACGTGCAGTCTCAGCAGCGTCACGTGGCTGGAAGCCATAGTCGCGACGCGACGAATGAACAAGTGGTCGGGCCACAGGTCGAGACGACTGCTGAGTAGACAGCATACGGCTCTGGGCCTCATCTAGGTCATTTCTAATGACGTTTAAATCACGCTGATCTTCCTCGTCGTACCGTGAGGGCAGCGGAGGCGCATCGCGCAAGGACCGTAGCGGGTTCGATCGCTCTGGGAACGGATTTGGAGCTCGAAGTACTCGCATCGGTGGCGACCGAGGAGCCGAGCCATGAAACCTCACAGAGGCGGCTGGGGATGGCACCATACTGTGGTGAAACCTCGTAGAGGCATCTTGCGATGACGTATCGCCAGCCATGGGCTCGCCCAGGTCAATCTGACCTTCTTCCAGTTCATCAAACAAGAGGTCAATACCTCTGCGTGGAGCCCGAGGCTCTTGAGCTTGGCTCTCGTCACTTCGATGGCTCATGGAGCGTGTGCCGTGTCGGCGACGGGGTTCACGGTGGTACTGGGCCACGGAGAAGCTGGTAACAGCTTCTGAAGCAAGCGCTGCGCGCGTATGTTGGTCTGGGACCTCTTGGGAGCTTGTGGCGCTTCGCCCTGAAGAGGTTTGGCCGTGGGCCGATGACGAGGAGCACAACGATGCGAAGGACCTTGTAAGCTCGCGGAGCTTCTGAACGCGTGCTTGAGGTGTAGTGACCTCCTACGTCTTGACAAGACTAGACCTCGCATGAGGCAGTTTCGAGAACGGAATGTTCTCATCTTAGTGGGGGAGAGTGTAACGGGGTTACATGGGTGTGGCGCACACATGGATCAGAGTTCTGAAGAGTT